TAGAATTGATCCTTGCGGAACACCAGCAATTATGATAAGAGAGTCAGATGAAACTTCGTCGACCACTACATGGAGAGACCTGTATGAGAGAAAACTAGCTAACAGAGAACATAGCTGGGGAGGCAAGCCATAAGATGGAAGCTTGGCGAGGAGTCCGTGGTGCCAGACTCGATCGAATGCATTGGAGATATCAAGTGCCACGGCTTAGGTTTCGCCATATTTTTCAATAGATTGCTGCCATATATGTGAGACGTAAGCGAGCAGGTCATCAGTTGATCTCTGATGACGGAAACCATATTAATTGCTTATCGTTGATAATACCAGAATGTTCCAGGTATTTCATGAGCTTGATGTTGATAGCTTCCTCCATGATCTTTGAAATAATAGATAGCAGTGCGATCGGTCTGTAGTTGCTAGGTAGGGTCTTTTTGCCTTTTTCAGGAACTGGTTGTATTCTTGCAATTTTCCAGTTGGACGGGAATATCCCCAATTTGTAAGAGTAGTTGAACAACTCGCAGAGAACAGGTGTTAGTTCGGGAGCACATTTCTTGAGGACAATCGGTGGGATTCCGTCGGAGCCACAAGCTTTGTTGATGGTGTTGAGACCCAATAAAATCTTCCTTGTAGTACGTTGTCGAAAGATGATCTCGGGCATATGACTGTCAATTGGCGTTATGTTTGGAGGTTGTTTTCCCGATGAAACCAAAGTGGAATTTTCAGCAAATAAATGCTCAAAAATGTTGGCTGTCTCCTGGGCAGTTGTGGTTAGTGTTCCATCTTCCTTGGTTAGAGGAGGAAACGAGCTGGAAGTGAAGTTTCTTCCTACAGCTGATTAATTTTTTTAATGTCGAACCATGCTGTCCGAATTCGCCCTACCTGTAAGCATTTTTTCATGTTAGCATTGATTGAAAAAAAAGGTGCAATAGTAATTTCATCATATTAAATCTGATCTCTTACAAAAAGATATCGAACTGAATTGGCATGAATGGAGGTTTCAGGTCTCAAAAGGTTTTTGTCTACGAGAGTTTCTTTCCGGAGCCTCCATAGTTTCCAAAATTTCATACCTTCAAATATTCAGCAGCACTTCCGCAAATGCGAATTCGTAGTTGGCCTCGAAATTAAATGTGGGAAAAATTCCGAGTATCCGAATTCACCCCGTCAGTCCGAATTCACCCCGACATATAATTATGGACTTTGTAGGGATAGTGGTATAGTTAATGCAAAGTCAGTTGAACAGATCATCAAACGAATGTCGGGCCGCGCTGCCGCAATCTTTGAACTTTCAATGAGACCGACGGCTTGCGGTGATGTGTTTTTCCAACTGACTTTGCATAAACTTCACCAGATATCATTTTATCGAGCTTACTGAGTTCGACCTAATAAGAAAAATACAGGCTTCTTTTGATGGCGTTAAATGCCACCGGGTTTTTGATCCCCTCATTAGCTGAACTTTGAACTAGATTTTATCAATAGCGGTTATCTGTCTTCGTCATGAGTTTCCTGTGCCGATATAGAAACTCTAAAAGATAACCTGAAATGCCAAATGTTTAACTGGAATCTGCCACGTAAACAATAGCCGTCAAAAGTTTTTCAACGAGGTACGAGGTAATCCTGTGTACCTGCTAAAATGGCTGACTGCTTGTATGGCATTCTATTCTGGAAGAACTCAGAGATAAAGATTCTATTTCAAATCTTACGTCCGATGTTCCACTGGATTCGCACCTGTGCCCAATTCTGTTCAAGTTATTCACATGCTGAATGGCATAAAACATAGACTTTATAGACTTAATTGCAACGACTGTAACTCATCCTACATTGGTCAGACAGGTAGGAGTTTTGAGACCCGTGCCTCTGAACACTATAGATTGATTCACAAATTTATCAATTCTGAAAATTCCAATACTACTTCTTCTTTTGCCAACCATATCATTGATTCAAACCATAGTTTTAATGTTAATTCTAATATGGAAATTATTCATGTTTGCAATAAGGGTCCACGTTTAAACTTCCTTGAGATTTTAGAGATTCAAAAATGTATTAATAACCCGGATATCAATTGTTTAAATGACCAGACTAATCTTGATCGTAATCATATTTTTCGTACTTTACATTTCTCTTAATTTTCATTACAGCATTTCCTGTGCTAGAGCCGGCCCTGTACTCATGAGATTGACACAAGTTTGGTTCGTCTTCTTCTTCATTTTATCATGAACAGTTTATCTTCTTCTATATTTATTGGCAGTTCTTATTACCTTTCCTCGTGTCTCTGTCATCAACCCAAATGTTTTTACATTGTTATCAGATATTTATATAATTTCCGTATTTTCATTATTAAGTGTCTTTTGGGGTGGAGCTCTATTTTTCATATGATTGATTGTCATTCAAAAAATTTTCATTCTGTGTTTGAAATTGCCAATATTGTCTTGTCAATGTCAAATAACCACTTCAAATTTTTTACATTTCTCACATTTCTGTGTCTTTCCTTTGATGGTTTGATTGCAGTAACATGAAGCTCACTTGAGTAGATCTTCAATTAATTACTTCTACTGATGTTGAACTTACTTATTGTAATGTTCTTTTGGATTTTCAGCCGTTACAAATCTTGTTGATTGTGAGGCTGGACTGATTACTATTATAACGATCCGATTTTTACTGATAAATTTTTTTTTTATTGCTAAGATGTTTTTCCACATAAAAGGCACGATAAAAGGTATGTCATCTCTTTCTCAGCTACCATTTTGTTCAACACCTGTAGGTACTTATTACTTTCTAGGTACTTTTTAATTGTGTCTGAAGATGGCCGTAGAGCCGAAACTATAGTCACACTGCTTATATATAATTTTGATATTAAATATTGTGGTCGACCGACTTTGAGTTCGTTTTTCTCCTGTTGATAAAATTATGTAGTTGAAAAATTCATTCTTGCTTGATGTTTGGAATTATTGTCCCTATTTTTCCGAGGTGAAAAAATTGGTGTACATTTGAATATTCTTCTGTGATTTCATTGATAACGTTCGTTGGTGTCAATTTGGTTTGTGAATTTCATGATAAAAACTGTTATGCTTCCAATTGGCAACAACGAGAAAGATGTAGACATTTTTCTTCCAACGAGAAAAACGCAGAAGATTACCATCTTCCCTCACAGGTTCATGTCCTTTTAACCCTTTGGCCGATTGCAACTCATGTTATACCTATCATTTTCCGCTGCTTGAGTATATTTAATCATTTTGTTAATACCATGGCAGCACCTGAGAAATTGTGTGAAATGCTGTTTGTAGGTTAATGAAGGAGGTGGAACATTTATTTCCATAGATTCTTCGGATTTTCTCCCATCGTCTCTTTAATTATAAGTATTAGTATTGAATAAATAGATACAAAGTTCAGTCATTTCCAAGCGATAAAAAAAAGATGAGGGTAGAAAAACAACTACTTTTCTGGCTAATGCCACGCAGAACATTGAATTACATCCTCCCGAAATCTATGCATTCGTATAAACGAATACTGATGAATGCCTGTTGATTTCGACACCTACAGACCGGTTTCGAGCTCTTTGGCTCTTATCAGTGTAGGGTAGTCTCCAGCTAGCAGTCCGACAACCGCCAGCTAAACACAACCTGACCCAACAAAAATCAATATGATTGTAACGCCATCCGAGTAGAAAGTACTTAAAGACTCCAAAACTGTCATTCCCCAATCGGTGAGTTGTGGGAGTGTCTGATTGCCCTACTAGCGTCATTTCAACTTCGAAAAAGCCAAAATGCCCAAAGTGTTTTTTTTTATCTCTTGGAGCGCACGAAAGGAAACCTAGGGAGGATAGGGAGATGAAGTAGGTGATGGAATTTGTTTGAAACTTTTATAGGTTATAATTTCTTGGGAATACTTCCATTGGCAAATAATTCCAAAGCTTCGTCGTTCTATATACGAAGGCGTTTTTGGCTTTTTCTTAGTTGAAATTACGCAAATCGGGCAATCAGCCACTTCCACATCACCGATATGGGAATTAGAATTTTGGAGTTTTTCTTTCCTTCATTTTTACTCAGAAGGCGTTACACTTATATAGTCTATGAATCTATGATAGACGCCTTTGAGGGAATAACGTGCCGACCTGATTTTTGTTTGTTCAGGTTGCGCTTAGCTGGCGGTCTTCGGACTGCTAGCTTGAGACTACCCCACACTGATGATACCCAAACAGCTCGATACCGCTCTGTAGGTGTTGGGCTGGCTAAATCGGTATCAATAGGCATTCAGGAAAGACACATTTTCATCAGTATTCAGTTATACAAAGCGATGCATAGATTTCGAGCGAATGTAATTCGATGTTCTGCATGGCATTAGGGAGAGAAGTAGTTGTTTTTCTTCCGTCATCTACCATTGTTGTTTATTTTATGAACATTGGTGGAAATGATTTTGAGCCTTGTTTTAATTTATTCAACATTTCATTCCACTTTGAGCATTTTGGCTTTTTCGTAGTTAGATTAGTATTATTTCAATATAGGTACCTGTAGTAAAGCGAATCAGATGATTATCCACAAAATATCCCTGCGCTCAAAATTTTCCTGTAAGAATTGTAAGAGAAGAATTCAATCAATAGTCAGTGACACTTAATTTGAAACATTTTTGAAGGAGAACAATATAGGTTGGTGTTTTCAACATAGAAAAAATGATTGTTGATGATGATTCTCTTCGCTATTGATCTTTTGACTCTTCAGTGACAAAAGTAAGAATAATCTGTGAGTGTTTCAATCGATTTTGGATGTACCATTTTCTTACTCAGCACATACCATGTTCTATCTATATCAATTGAACAGAAAGCAATGATATAATCTCCGTTCAGAAGCATATAACAACTGAAATTGAAAAATCAAAGAAAGCGCTTACTTTTGTAGATGTTCATAGAAGGTGGCGATTTTAAATGCGAAAATGGAGGAGCTTTGTTGAACTTTTGAAATTTTAAAACAGATACTTTCATCAAATATTATTGCACTTTTTATTCTTTGCAGATTAAGCATAGTTGCCCGTTTTGTTGGAGATCCGATACTCCTCTTATATATCGTGCCGTACCTTCTTGGTTCATAAGGGTTGAACATATGCAAGAAGCTCTAGTAAAATCGGCAAAGGATACTTATTGGGTTCCCGATTTCATCAAAGACAAAAGATTCGGCAACTGGTTGAGGGAAGCACGCGATTGGGCGATAAGCAGGAATCGTTATTGGGGAACGCCAATACCAATTTGGATGTCACCAAAAGGTGATGAGATCGTGTGTATAGGGAGCATCGCTGAGCTTGAAGAGCTTACTGGACAAAAGATAACTGATTTGCATAGGGAACATATTGACCATTTAGAAATACCCAGCCGTATTCCAGGTGAGAAGTAGAGTAAAATGAATGATTTTTTTAATTCATTCACTATTACCAGTAGCAATTTTAATGAGTCATATAATTCATTTTATCTACGCACTGTATCGAAGGTATGCTTTTTTTGCCTTATTCAACCTTCCAGTAGTCGCGCCTTATCTAGGACTTTGTTTTCGCTGCGGAGTCTGACTCCGCCATGGAGAATTTGGGAGTTTGAACATGATGAATTGAAATTCAAATTTGAAATTGAAATTCACCAGTATGACTCTGGACATCTTCCTACGATGAGATATGATGTCGTTGACGGATACGGACCTAAAAATTTGAAGAATTTGATGTTGGTGATTTGGTATACCTAAGAGCTCATCATTTGTCGTCGGCTGAAGAGAGAAAAATAAAGAAATTTTCCATTTTGTTCGAAGGGCCGTTTGCAATTAGAGCGAAGAAAGGAATCAATTCCTACGAGTTGGTGGACAAGGATGGCAATTTGAAAGGGACGCATAATATTTATAATCTCAAAAGATGTCCTCCCGAACCAGTGATTGACTAATTAACTATGTAGAAATGTCTGTTTCCAGCCATTTCAACAGGGGGGGTAGTGCCCGGATTTCCTAACTTAAACGTCCCTGCATACGTGGTGTTAGCCAGAACCGCGAGACTAGAGTGCGCGTAAGGTGTTCGGGATGGAAGGAGGCTAGGTTGGGGGGCGACAAGATCATTAAAATAGACAGGTTGCAGCATAATTTTTCAAGGTCGCAATGAACGCATGATCGTGACGTCACGGGAGTGCCCCGAGCCCCGCCCATCCCGAACGATTCTTTTCTCTTTTGAATTTCAAAAAGCTTTCGATATTCGCGCGCAAGCTTTGTTCCTTTTCGTATTACCAAATTACTTTCAAATTAGTTTAATCTTTTCAGTTAGTTTTCAGTTTGATGGTTCATCTTTATGATTATTCAGCATTTTGATTGTGCAATTGAATATCAGTTTGTCATACATCTAAAACAAGGTAAGTAAATCTATTTTATGAAATATGTTCAAAATAACCTATAATTGTTTGTGATAAAAACGAACAATCCTTCGAATCCCTTCCAGATGCCAGGTGGGACAGTTTGTAGTGTGGCTGGCTGCAAGAAGAATTCGAGATACTTACTCCAAAAAGAAAGAAAACCTGAGATTTTTTCGTTTTCCGAGAACTTCCGAGATATGTGAGGAAGTGCAATCCAATAGGACAGATGCATTTTCGCCAAAATGCAAACGTATTTGTAGTAGACATTTCATACCAGATGACTATCAAGATTGTCTGAAAGCAAGTCTTTTGAAAACTGCTCCAAAGATATTGAAAAGAACAGGTCGTGAAGTGTATGTGTGGTCCAAATTTGCTAAGTGTACTAATATTTTTTTTTTGTAGCTGTACCATCACTATTCCTCTCACCTTCAGAAGACCATATGGAATATGAATATGTTTCATTCATTACATAGGAATTCATATGATTTTTTCAATAAATAATATCACTTATGTGATCAATTACCTATGTGAACTCAATGAGTTCAACTCATGGTCTAAAGGACCTAGGTCAATTGCCCTTTGTACTTCATCAGTGCAATGAAGATCATTTATTATTATGATTATCATTATATATATTGTCAAACTCAACTGAATATTCTGTGTTATCATTGTTATGTGTATGTATATTTCTAGAAAATATCTCAAGTGGTTAGGTTTCATTCAAAAAACGAATTTGACTTTGATATTTAGATCCATGGTAGGAAGGGGCTGAGCTCGATTTTTGCTTTTCACCCATATTTAGGCATGGAAGACCCCCATCTATATTATGACAAACTATATATCACATTACTTCTTGAAAAACACATTTGTAGGTATAATAGTAAAATTTGATGTACAAACCAGAACTATTATTGTTTTTATGGAAGGGCCTATCTATCATGTCCTATTTTATTTAGAACACTTGATATTTTTTCTTTGACTCTCTCTGTTTATATTGTGCCATGAACAGAGACAACTATGGAAATAAAATCAACTTTAGCAAGTTTAGCAATACAAAGTTGGATCAAAGTATTCATTATGTAAGTAATTATTTTTCTAATGAATTCCTTAATTTAAATGAAGGAGTTATGTGAAGGACATCACCCATACTTTGATGGATTTCATGAATGAAAGATTCCTGTACATCCTCTTTCAAGTCTTAAAATAAGGTGTTAAAAAAATATAGTTCATTATGTTTGCAGTGAACATGACCTCCAACCTTTATAACAGTTAATAATACTCAAAAGTCATGCTTTTTTATCATTATAATAAATGTAGGACTTTGACATTTCAAAACTTAAACATTGTATTCTCCTAATAAGGTGTATTTCCTAATAAAAGTTTATTTTTTATGATAACTTGAATATGGATTTCAAGCCCTCTGAAGCCCCATGAATCTCTTGCTGTTCATTATACAATTTTCGATTACAAATGAAGGAAACAATAAAAGGTACATTTATAATATATCTTACAATTCACAATAAAATCAATGATTTTTAGAAACATTGGATTTCTTCTTTTTGATGACATAAAACCACCTATTTTGTGACCCATACAATTCCCATACAAACATTCTGTCTGAAGTAGGTCACATCATGAATGTAAAGGATATAGGTAATACTACCAGACTTTGAGAACTCTGGTTTTCAGCAAACAGATTTTATTATTCACAATCTTCAATATTTTTCAATAGATGAATTCAATATCAATAACTTCCTTATCCTGGCTCCCACATTCAATGTAGCCAGCATCACTGGGCTATCTCTAGATGCATAGTTTCTGATCAGATATAATATACAATTTCCAACCCAAAGATGTAATAAACCACAGAGGTTGAAGTCAAACAAAATCTTCATACTTTCATTGGTTTTCGAGGACCTAGTCATCAACTGATTCTTGCAATAGGTAGCTGGTTTTCATTAGTAGTATCTTCTTCAGAGGTTGATTCAATCTTGATATTACATTCCTAGATTTGATGACAGATGTTATATGGAAGGTCTGTTTGTGGTAATGCAGATATTCAGAACATACCAAGGGCCTCGATGGGTGTCATTTAGGAAAATCTGTACCAAGGAAAGTTGATGACCATTCAGACTTTTTTTCAAAGTGTCTTCCTTCATATTGAATTGAAGGAAAGGTCCTTACTAAACAATATTCCTATATTTCGAATACAGTATTGATGATTGAGAAGTGGTCACTGAAATTCAACAAATTACGATACCTACATAATTTGGTTGGATCATTTTTGATCTTGCTAGATTGTAATGATTGTGAAACATTAGAAGACAATAAGTAGTGAGTAAGGAAATGTGTTGAGAAGGCCATCGAGCCCATGTATTTCAGCTATAGGACCTGGTCCAGGTATTTATGTATCTCGTTTATTCGTTGATTGCATTAAAACGTTTCGTTTCAACGACGCTACTACAATCTTTCGTACCCCGAACCGAATTCGAATTTCATTATTTATTGTGATATTGTTAAAAAGTAAAAAAAGGAACTAGTTGAGAAAAAGAAAGGAATAACAATTTCCAATATACAGGGTGTCCCATAAGTAATGGATCAAAAAAAGTGGGGTGGTAGGGGGGTCATTTCCAATCAAACTAACCGTATATGTGGTTATCCAATTGTTGATGGTTCAAAAGTTGATAATGTTTTCTCATTTCTATAAATAGAATTATTTACAATAAAACTATGTCGCATTTGTGATTTTTTCTTTCACAAATTTGATCCACATGATGCACCTTTCCCCAGAAATAATTTCATGACATGAATTACTTCTTATCAATTACCTGAGACAAATGTTGTTTTACTTGAGTTTTGTCATCGAATAAAATATTTGAGTCGATTTTGAAATGCCGCTGGCAGATTTAAAAACTACCCCTCGAAGATAACCAATAAAAAAAAAAATTACCATTTTATACAGATTCCGAAATGGTATAACATGTGGGAATATTCAAAACAGCCTTTTTGTTATTGATTTTATTCAAATGGGTCGTATTTTTCAAAAAAAATCAATAACTTTTGAACCGTCAACAATTTGATAACAACATATATCGTTAGTTTGATTACAAATGACCCCCCCCCCCCCGACCCCCCCCCTACCACCGCACTTATCTTGATCCATTACTTATGGGACACCCTGTATAATAAGTCAATCAAATGAAAAAGTAAATAGGTAACCAGAAGAGGAGAAAGAAAAACCGGTGAAGAGTGTTACATCCAGTATTTATATATTATGAGATAATTAATGATGTTAGTGATGTCAATAAATAAACGAGATACTTGTGATCAATTTGAAGTTTAATCCAATAAAAGACAACAAATTGACGACGAAGGTAAAAACCGAATCTTCAGACAAAAATCGAGATCGAGAAAAGGTATTCCAGATCAAAAAGAAACATCATGGATGCAGAGATGTTTCAACAGCTCATGAATTCTGCGAGCTACAAATCAACTAGTTTTAGAGCAGAATCAAGTTCTTCTTGATCAAATCAAACTCAATTCAACATCAGGCAAAACATATATCCATTTGAAAATTTCAACCAACAGAAGGAGAACTTTCGCACATACAAAGAACGGTTTGAAAATTACTATCACAAATGTTTCGAACAACGAAAAATTCGCTGCTGAACTGCTTCCCAATTCTATCGGCTCATCAACATTTTAGTACCTAGAAACCCCAAAAAGAACGTGCTAGTTTCACAACATGAATTTTTGTCAACATTTCAACAAGTAAATCAATCTATTTCTGAATTTACAGCGATTTTGAGGAGTTCGACTCTTGATTGCGATTTCATGACATCTTGTCAATGCAAAAATTAAATCAATATTTCTGAAAATTTTCTTCGCAATAACATCTTCATAACATCTTGTCAATGCAAGAATTAAATCAATATTTCTGAAAATTTTCTTCGCGCACAATGCATCAGGCACTTCGATTCGTGAAAAGATTCTTCAGTCAGAT